GATAGGACCTCTGTTGGTCTTTTCTGTATCAAACACACAGATTGCAAGCCTAGTGCCACTTTGAGATCTTTGGCAGCAGTTAACTCTGCAGCTCACACACGATTGAGCCGGTATGATAATGAATATTCAGAGACGGGTAATGCCTGCGGGTCACTCACCAACCTAAGACAGAGCACCTGTGTGGCCTGGGCAGACGTCTCCATGACAGGTAAGGTGACCTGCTGACGTCCCATGCAACCCAAGTCAGAAGCTCATTTTTTAATAAAAGGGGGACATGCAGGGCCCTGGCCCCCATTTTGGGTAACTGTTGCCTTGCTTGCGGACCTTGACCTTGATATCCTCCCAATGCTAATTCCCTGCCAGGTTCCACCCTCCTGAATGCTTAAGGGAAGTTCCTTGTCTGTGTATCCTGAATAATGGGCGTTAACAGCTTAGATGCAAGATTGTAAAACATCAGTATCGAACTTCTGCCCTCCGGGGTCCTCCCATTGTGCTATAAGCCTGTATTTAAGACCTCCTACCCCCTTCAAGAAATGACATTCGACATTCAAAATTAAATATATATATATAATTGAATAAATACTGCAAATGTATTCTATGAATACCACAAATGTGATTAATATCATGAGTGTAATTTAAAAAAAGAAAGAAAGGAAGGAAGGAAGGAAGGAAGAAAGGAAGGAAGGAAGGAAGGAAGAAAGGAAGAAAGGAAGAAAGAAAGAAAGAAAGAAAGAAAGAAAGAAAGAAAGAAAGATATCCTAACTAAGACAAGTTCTTAGGCTATATGATTGCTTCTGTATAGGTTTGGGGGTTAACATAAATGTTCATTTTCATGAGAGAAATGCTTAGAACTGGGAGTGCTGTGTGGTTCAGTATGTAATTCTGGCTGGCCTGTAACTCACAGAGATCCGCCTACCTCTGCTTTATATGTGCTGAGATTAAAGGGTACACCACCATGTCCACGTGAAACTCTTTCATGTGTTTTAGGTACTAGTCTTTTCCCAGTGTGTACTCTTTTACTCAGTTTCTCACACTGTGTTGTCAACTTTGATCAACCTGTGCAGATCTGTGTCTGTGAGATATGAGATCTGAGGACCTAAAATGGATTGGGACTACAGACTAATGCTATAGATAACTTTACTTCAGTTTCAGTGTATGGATGTAACAAAGAAAGCAATAATACAAGGAAGGTTGTTTGAGTTCAGAAAAAAGGTGATCAGAACATGTAAATAAACACCAGTAAGCACATAGTAAATACTAACAGAGCAGCCCTTTCCCAAAACTTTCTCAGGACAGACTAATTTAACACAATTGCCTGGTACCTACTACAGATTATATCTGGGACAGAACAAAAGCAGGGCAGAGACCATATCCAGATTCAGGGCACACTGAGGACAACACTCCACATATCCTCTCATCAGACTGAGTTCTATAGCTATGTTCTGACATCCAATAAGAATAAACATGTCTTATAAATTAAGTGCAAATGTTTGTTGCATGAAGCACAAATCATATCCAAGAACAATCAGGGAACAAAATATACCTGAGGTAAAAGGCCCTCTGCCTTTTTCCCTGGAGCCTCCCTCATAGTTCCCCAAGACATTGTTCACCATGCATCATTCTTTCGACCGTGATCCAACACTATGTTGTTTATTTTTTCTACTCTTTTCTCTTTACTCTTTTGGGGGGCCACCACCCAGCTCCCAAATAAACGCACACATGGAGGCTTATTCTTAATTACAAATGCCCAGCCTTAGCTTGGATTGTTTTTTGCCAGCTTTTCTTGACTTATTTATATGCCATCAACCTTCTGCCTCTGGGCTTTTTCTTATTCTCTCTTCTATGTATCTTACTTTCACTCTTACTCTGCAGTTGGCTGGGTGGCTGAAAGGCTGGTTCCCAGCATCCTCCTCTCCCTGTTCTCTTCCTCTTCCTTCTCCTCCCAGATTTCTCCTTCTATTTATTCTCTCTGCCTGCCAGCCCCATATATCCTCTCTCCTGCCTTGCTATTGGCCATTTAGCTCTTTATTAGACTATCAGGTATTTTAGACAGGCATAGTAACACAGCTTCACAGAGTTAAACAAATGCAACATAAACAAAAGCAACACATCTTTGCATCATTAAACAAATGTTCCATAGCACAAACAAATGTAACACACCTTAAAATAATATTCCACAACACTATGTAGATTTATTCATTTTTATTTTGTGTGTATGGCGTTTTCCTGCTTGTACATCTGTGCACCATGCACATGCAGTATCTGTAGAAGCCAGAAGAGGGTGTCAGATCTTAAGGAACTGGAATTACAGCAAGCTGCCATGTGGGTACTGGGAACCCAACCCTGGTCCTCTGTGTAAACAAGTGCTCTTACCTCTGAGCCATCTCTCTATCCCCACCTTAATTGCTTCTTAACAGTTTATGGTTCATGTTTGTTTTGTTATGAATGATTATAATGGTATTGCATTCATTTTTATTTATTATTATTACTGTGTTTTTATTTATTTATTATAGTGTGTGTGTGTGTGTGTGTGTGTGTGTGTGTGTGTGTGCTCACAAATGCTCATGAAGTCAGAGGAGAACTCTGAAGGGTCAGCTCTCTTCTTCAGCCTTCTCTCACCAAGTACCAGAAAGCCATCCTAGGATGCTCATAAAAGCAGTGAGTGAAAAGTCTCACAGAAGCAGTGAAGATTCTGAGGAGGAGCTTGCATTTGTTCAAAGAGCCTTGACCTCCTGGACTGAAAGAGAGGGAACTATTCACATGGAAGGCCATTATATACTAACCCTATGCTAGAAAAACAGGGTCTTTGTATTAAGCCAGGTCTGAAAATAAAGCCAACAAGAAGAGAAGCTTAAAAAAGAAACACAGAGGGACCAATGTGAGTCCCCCAGATCCAGCCATGCCTGAAGCTACTGGGCATTTTAATAATGTAAGCCAATAAATCCCCTTTTTCTGGTTATCTTCTCCTCCTCCTCTTTTTTTTTTTTTTTCTTCTTTTTGGAGTGTAGCCCTGGCTGTCCTGTATCTCACTCTGCAGACCAGGCTGGCCTCGAACTCACAGAGATCCATCTGCCTCCAAGTTCTGGATTAAAGGCGCGTGCCACCACTGCCCAGCATTCTGGTTAACTATTTTAAATTGGGTTTTTATCACTTAAGATAGAAAACATGATGGCTAATGCATCCAGGAATTAAACAACAAAAATGAAACATATTTATAAGGTTCTTAAATGCTTCCAATAGAAACCTAAATCAGAGAAGGCATCCCAGAAAAACAAATCATTGTCTTTTGGTAAAACTCATTGTCTATCTTTTTGTGCAGTGGATGAGGACTGAGGAGAATGAGGCTGTACTACATCATTTTCATTGTTATTTGCATTTCTACTTTGGGAATCAATTCAGCAACTTTGTGTCAGGTGTTTTTGCATCTCAGCATCTGACACCTGTAAGAGCAATAATTAAACTCCAATCTTCTACTCGGTGCAGAGGAGAAGAGAGCAGAAACGGGAAAAAAAAACTACACCGAGCAAAGACACTGTCAGTCTGGCCTCTAACCATTTGATCACTGAGAAGTCTGAGTGTGAGATAAGCTTCTGGCTCTTGCTGGTCTCACCACTGAAGCATTTTAAAGCACTCACTCTGTTCTGGATGGCAAGTCAGTTGGGATAAGGTCCTAAGTCCTAGCAAAACACACATGGACACAATAATGTGGTTTGACAGTTTTGTGGGATTCACAGCCCTAGTCACAAGTCTGTGTCTCTAATCACTTGCCGTCTACAGTGATTAGGGTACCAGCTTTTGCTCCGACAGATGGACAGCTCACTGTTCACATGGAAGCCAACTATACTAGTACTATGCTAGAAAAACAGGGTCCTGGTATTAAACCATGTTCTGGACGTTGTAAATTTACTTACTGGTCTAAGTTCTTCACAACAAATCAGAAGAAACTGGGTCCCCTCTGTTTAGGAATAGTATCTACTTTTTCTTTGAGAACCGTTTGTAACTTTTATTTATTTTCATTTTATGTGTTTTTAAGAGTTCTCCTGTAGCAGTCAAAAAACAACATGCATGAATAAGTTTTCTCTTTCCACCATGTGGGCTCCTGGTGTCAAACACATACACACTGGCTTTGTGTAAAGTGCCTTAATCTACCGACCCAATTCTCCGGTCCTGTAAACATTTAAATGAAAATTTGTATGTGTGTGTGTGTGTGTGTGTTTTGGGGGTGTGTGTGTGTGTGTGTAATGATTTGGTGAGAAAACAAATTTACAGCTCATCTTACAAATGTATGTTCTTGTACTTCACCTCACAGGGCTAATATCCAGACGTAGATGTTAAATTATAAATAAATACTACTATTAATCTTAACGGTTCTGAGTTGGGCAAAGAGGGGAATGTCTTGAAATTAACAGCATAATATCCTGGGGAGGGGGGAACACTGCCTTAAAAATCAGAAGACTTGGGGGTAAAAAGAGAGCAAAGGTACTATTAGATGACCAGGAAGGCTGGAGAAAGCAGATAGGATCCATGAGTTTGTGAAAGAGAACACAAAGAAAAAAATAAAAATTGTTTTTCTAATGTTGTCTGACGTGGAATTTTTAGGGGGGTTTTGTTTTTGTTTTGTTTTGTTGCATGTGGTAGATAAGTGCATATAAATGTAACTCATAGAGAACCTGTAAAGTCCAAAGTGAAGCTCTACAGATTCAAAACGGCTGTTTTATTTTCATAAAAGTTCAGGGAGCTGAAAAGACTTTGGGTCAGGGAAGGTGTTTGAATGACTACGTCAATCTAGTTGCCTAGTATTTTTTACTTGCAATTTCTTTGCAGAAACGTAATTTTTTATTGAAAAGTGATCAGAAGACTTGGGAAATTATATGTTAAGAGAGATTTCCAGCCAAAAGTCGGTACCGAGACCGCGCTCAGCAAGTTTTATTCGATGCGCTCGACGCTCTTTCGCCGGCGCGATAGCCCCGCTGCAGTAGGAGTCTGCGCTCTGGGCTCGACTGAGGCTCCCTGGTCGCTCGCGCTTTTCTCTCCTTCTCCAAGATGGCGGCGGTCGGCGGCGCTGAGGCGGGATCCAAGCGAGCCGAGTGAAGGTAGCGGCGAGCGGAGCCCCCACCAGACCGGGCCGGACCCCCACTCCGGGGCGGCCACGGCCCCGCCCGGCCTCCACCCACCCCTCCGGCCCAGCGACACCGTCCCGGAGGCGCCTCAGGCCCGCTACGGCCTAGCTCGGGGGCCAAGCCGGGGACTGGAGTAGCGGCCGCAGCCGCCCCGGCGTAGGGGCTGGAGCGGGCCGCAGGAGGAAGGCGGCGGGAGCTGTTCAAACGGGGAAGGCGGGAAAGCTGCGGGGCCGGGAGG